TGACTGACGGACTTAATAGAATTTCTTTTTTTTTACCCAGTCGTCATCACTATACGATGTTGAGTAGATTTGTGACCGATATGTCAAGATTGTGGAATCTCATGAGTAAACACTTGCGATTCTCCGTCTCCGTACATATTAATCTATTACGTACCCTATTGTATCGCGCTTAATTTTACGTAGAATTATGAGTAAAATGTACGTTGACTATTTATTTAGATTATTGAGGGTTATTTATTATTATTTTTAGTTTATATGACTAAAAATTATTAAATAAATAAAGTTGACTAAAAAAAGCTTATAGAAGCAAAATATATTAATAATCTACCCATGTCATAATTACACAACTTCCTTTATTAAACCTTTTTTAAATTAGATTTTTATTTTTACGTTAATGCCTGAGAACAAATTGCTGCAGAGATTGGAATAAACTCTACTCACCATAGACAGATATTAATCGATCATTTTAGGTGGTCATCGCGACGGTACATGATCCTAATAAATTGAGTTCTCCTCTAAATGGTTTCTTATTGCATTACTAATTTACAAATGTCAAAAAGTTAATTTGCAAGAAAGTAGGTAGTATGTATGCGTGATTTGTGGATTTATTGTTAACATAAATTAGTTTCAATTGGTTATTTTAGCACTTGTAAAGTCTCAGCATAAAGATTTTGGTGTCAAAATATGTCCTTCGTGCTGTTTATTAAGCCTCATTTCATCTGATATAATAAGTTAAAAAGGTAAAAAAAAATTTGCTGGCTGTGGATATCAATGACTGTATAAAACACATTTTATTTGTTTACATTAAAATAAATTTCAACGCACAGTTTTCTTAAAAAATGTTGAAGTATTTTTTACATTATAGATATACATACATCTAATGGCCTTTATCTTGTAAATTGATTTGTATTCTCTTGTGTAATTAAAAAACAGTTTATAGATAGTAGACATATTATTTTTTAAGTAGAACCGTAAATTCTGATAATTATAACCGTTACAAACCACATTTATATTTCGATTTTTCATGCTGGCTTTATATCCTTAAAATATTTATTTTCTCCAATAAAACTACAGTTAGTATTTAGATATTGTTTCTGTATAATTTACTGCTAGATGCTAGTTGAAAAACACTTAAGTCTCTTTTTATTGTCTTTTTCGAAGTACCATTTAAGATGTTGTAGATAGGAAAAACATCATATCACTAAATGCTGTCATACAGTCTGTTACTAAAATCTACCTGCAAATCATTTACATTGTTTTATTAGATTTTTTTTATCTTGTAAATTGATTTGTGTTCTCTTGTGTACTATTTAAACAGTTTGTAGATATAAAGCAGACATTAATTTTTAAGTAGTACTGTAAATTCTGTCTTATTTACAATATAAATCACAATTCTATTTAGATTATTCAAGTTTGCTTAACCTATGAAATTTTATTTTTCTATCATTAAATTACAGTTGGTAAATATTTTGATATTGTTTCTATATAATTTACTGCTAGATGCTAGTAGAAAAAACACTTAACTCTCTTTTATGTTCTGTTACTAAAAACTACCTACATAAAATTTATATATGATATTTATATTTCTTATAAAAATACTAATAATTTTAGCTAGTCCCATTAGCTCATATTCCTATTATACATAGGACTCAAAGGCAGACTCGGTCAGACGGATGAGGGCATAAAGTTGAGATCAATCAGGACAATGCATTTTATTTAATTTATGCATTGCTATCACAAAAAATGGCAGTAGTAGACTGGCTCAAGCCAAGAATTTTAATTTCTTTGAAAAATATTAAGCTTTCCTTGTAAAATAATTGATCATGTTTATCATAAATGAGCATAATGCATGACAAACTATTATTTTATGACCCTGGGAAAATATTTGAGTTACTTTGTTATTAAATAGAATTAAAATTATTCTATTTATTTTGAATTGTTTTATAAAATATGCATTGCAACTATTTTTGCATGCATTCACATAATTATTGTTGGAATGATTAGTTGTTATGATATACCTAATTAAATAATGGAATATTTATCTATTGTTTTAGCTATGGCAATAACAGAAGATACTGTATAATGGAAATGAAAAGGTAAAAGTGTAAATAACCACAAGTAATATTTATATGTATTTGTATCTGTTTTATTAAAATATATATATTATTCTATGATTTCAGGTCTTAGTTAATGATAAAAAACAAGTGATATACATTAAAATGATGAACTCAGAGGAAACAGACACATTGAGCACTGTACCATCTGATGGACATCCTGAAGATATGTCAAGTAATTATAAAAATTAAATTACTACTATACCATAAATACTTTTTTTTATAACAAATCATCACTAGTACCTAATTTAGTCTTATTTAAATTGATTAGAAACAATTACAGAATAACAGATAAGTGACATGGTCGGAGCGGATTTAGTTAGTAATATCAGAAATTACTACAGAAGCTGTGTTACACATTATCCACCATGGTGAATTATAGATAATAGCATTCTCCCTATTTTTCTCCATTAATAGAGGAGACCTAGACACAGCAGCAGAGATATTAGTATGTTGTTGATGATGACAATGACAAAAAATGCTTAAATATGTTATTTGAAAAATCTTTAGTATTATAAAGTAACCGTCAAAAGTTTCAGGCACAGAAGATGCTCCTTCGTCAATGGTCTCCAGTGAAGCAGAATCTGAAACTAGCTTACTCTCTGAGGCCCCTAGACATGAAAACCCAGACACAACATTAACTCAATCCAATGATAGTGCACTCACCGACCAAAGCTTTTCCACCAATGACAAACCATCTATAATCACTGCTATGGACTGGAAGACAGCAGGAAATAACTTATCCTCATTTGTCTCCACTAGAGGTACGCTATGGTTTTATTAAAAACAAATGTGAAGAAGTGCTAATGCTCTTTTAATCACTTTATAAATAACTAATAATGATTATCTACCCATCTACTGATTAACTAATTGAAGTTCATACCATTGTTGTTGATTTAGAATTTAATACTTTTAAAATTCAAGTTGAAGGTAGTGCGTAAGGTTTTGTGCCTGGATTTGATTTGATATAATATGGCTAGTTATGAGATACAAACCATTAAAAAATGTGGATTAAACATCACAATTTATTTCAAGTTCCTATGAAAGGTGTCAAATAATATTCCTAGTTTTATAATTGTTTCGGATTTTGATTTATTATATACTTAGATGAGAAAGTAAAATATGATTAACAGGATCAATGTTACCATGGGACTCGCATAAGGGGCCAGTGATGCAACCACCTGATTCTGATTTGCGTCCTGGCGAGTTTGTTATGCGATTATTATTCACTGAGTTCACAGTGCAAGCAGAGAGAAAAATGGAATTCGTCATGTCTGAGCCACTGGTATGAATATTTTAAATTACAATTATTTATAACTTATTTAGATATTTGAAACTTATAACTTAATTTTTTGCAAATTTGCTCCTTTTCTTTTATATATATTATACTTAGATATATTACGAAATAATTACCATTTGTTCACAGAAAAACTATATTAGTATATGTTCTAAAAACACAGCTTTGATGTTGGTTTTTGTAAGCCGTAGATAAATAAAATATTATAGTAATATCCAATTCCAAAGTATTACGAAAATCAATCATTTTTCACAAACATCACATACATTGCTCATATTCCAAGATGAGTAGCTAAAGCCCCCGTATTATGGAGTATCTGAGACAACGAAGATACCTCAACACCCAGACCAGAGACTATAGAAAATTTCATTTTCCACATTGACCAGGAATCGAACCCGGGACCTCCGAGATGGCGTCACCTAGAAACCGATGTGCGAACAACTCCGCTACGGAGGTCTTGAAATATATTAACCATTATTTTCTAATCTAGTCAATATAAGTTTATTATATTTGTGCAAATAAAATAATCATAATATAACAAAGAAAAAATAAAACGTCAAACTTTGAGGTGCTGTAGATTTTGACTTGTTTAGTTTACTTGACTTGAAAAAATGTTAATCAATGTTATATATAAATATATTTCAGGATTGTCTACTTAACTTGGCCCTCTAAATCATACATCAAACACGTTAAATTGGTTATTAATTTTTAAGTTTATTTTTTTAGCGGGATAACATTACTTTTTGTTAATGATAAAATCATTATAAATACTAATTCTTAAAAGTAGTTCAAAATATTGAGTATTTCTTATGTTACTTTTAGTGCTACTAAAAATTCTGGTACATTCTATATTAAAGTTTCTGAATTTAGCTGCAAGTATAAGTTTTGAATCATATTTTTTGTGACATTAATTAAAAATCTTTTTCCCATGTATACTTACTTATAAGTGGACGCCAAATAAGAAGTATATCATATCAGCTCATCAAGAAGTGGATTTGATTTCTATGTCAATCATTCAGCAAGTCAAGTCAACTGTCGATATTAGGTCGTCGATGTTTTCATAACCATTCGATCTGTTTATTAATAGGGTACTAGTTTATCTGGGAGGTCTCAAATTAAGACTCAAGTTATAAACCTGATTTGGTGTGTTTATCTTAAATAGATTTTGAATTAGGGTGGGTTAAAAGTGGTTCCAAATTGTGTGATGCTCACCAATTCTTTGCTTGAACTTGATAATACAATTCACATTAAACAGTTTTTGTTACTGATATGAGTGCGGAATCTTTGTTAAGGAAGAGAGAGCAGAGCAACTATCTCAAATCTATAATATATAAAGCTTTCTATATATATAAATTCTTGCGTTATTGAATGACTGACTGACTGACAGACAACGTACAATCAGAACTTGAAATTTGGAATGAAGATTCCTTAGGGAGAGTAGAGGAGCACTAATAGAGGATTTTTGAAAATTCCGCCCTGAAGGGGCAAAATTAGAGGATGAAAGTTTGTATGAAACTTCGTTACAACAGGTGTTAGGAGTTTCAGATTTTGCTTGCGAGTTCATTTTAGGACGTAGGTACTTACTAAGATTTTACGAAATTCAACCCCTAAGGGGGTAAATTAGGGGATGAAAGTTTTTATGTAATTTTCTCATTTCTGGACTTAAAACTAGACCATGCGGTCGAAGTCGCGAGCAAAAGCTAATACTTTAATTAATTCAATTGTATGTGAATTGTATGGTTGTAGGAGAAACCACTTAACAAAACACTGCAACGTGGTGAAGACCCTCAGTTGGATCAGATTTTGTCGGCATTCGGCACTCTGGCAGAGCATTGCCTACCCTCGCTACTCCGTGCACTGTTCGGATGGCTAGAGCGACAAATGGCCGATTCGCCACAACTCAGCGAACAAGCCAAAAAGCCACACCAAGATTTGAGGAACAAAAGGTAAGTAAATTAAAAAACAAAAAAATTTTCACAAATGTGTAAATTAGTTTATTAATTGCATTTATGGTATTAATTTCAATTAGTGTTATTTTTGTTGATTGAAATATTTATAATTTGAGATAGTGATAAATAATATCCCAACTTATTTTTATCAAATTGCTGTCCATACATAACAAGTTTTAATGCCAGATACAGCAATATTTCATTCATATTATCATTGTTCATTATTTATGTACATGAATTATTGTTATTCTTAGCAGTCAATACTATTTAGGTTTTATGACTATGTGCAATACTCAGAGACATCATTTATTTTTAATGAGTGCTAAGAAAAAGCTATAGTATTGAAGACGATACAAACAAAAGCAATATATAAATGTTAAATGACATTTCATGTTCATGTCCATAATACAAATGCTTAAATTACACTTAATTTGAATATGTTATTTTACCTAATTATATTACTTATTGGTGTTTCTGAATCTGACGTGTATACACTTATATATACATATATACCACATAGTGCTATGTTACATTGTGTTGTTATTCACAGTTACGTTTTGCATTGTTATCAAATTTGTTAATGAAAAGGTCTTATTGAATATTTCATTGCCCTAATGACAAGTCACGTGTCACACATGGAGTCTTACATTTATTAACTGCATTTCCTGTATTTTATGTACAGTCGACAGCACATCAGCTTATACAAAAGTGTGAAATTTCTTGACTTGATTTTAAACGTTATTTGATTAACCAGACAGCTAAGAATCAACTTTAGAAATTTGACATATTGTGGTATCTTAACATGCAACCTTTTGGCGTATAAACTTCATTCGTGAATGTAATATATAGAAATATGACTTTGAAACCAATGCGATGTGTTGTAGCATCATCTACATCGTGTCTGGAAGTGGGGCGGGTGGGGAAACTGTGGAGCGTAGCAGCGAGGAACTCCAAGCGGAGCGGCGTGACCTTGCCGTGGAATTTCTCTTCTGTCTCGCTCTAATAGAGGTTTTGAAGCAGTTACCTTTCCACCCAGGACACGAAGATTTGGTCCTGTACATAGAGAATGTCGCCTTCAAGAGATTTAATTATAAGGAAGGGTAAGTTTAAATGTAACTCTTGATTTTATAATTCTTTATCTTGTACACTTTTGTATAAATTTTATATTTTTTAGCAGTATACTACTAACACCCATTTCACAAATTTAGAACAAGACATAGCTGAACTAGGAAACGCCTTATCTTACGAAGCGCCTTAGTAATTCCTAAGTTAATTCCAAATATTTTCTTTTTCTTTATATCTTGTTACATTTTTGACGTGATATTAAGCAAATCCGTAGAGCAATTCGCCGCATAACATATGTCATACCTTAAGTCATTGCTTAATATTGTTAGGTGGATCTTTGGTGAAAAGCATTTTTACTCACGGCGTTCCTAAATATTTGATAATTTTTGGTCCTCCTAAAAACTCCCAAATTTAGTGAAAACTATAATTAGTCTTATATGATTTGTAACAGGTTACAGTCTAATCCAAACGCTGCAAACGTGCACATAATAGCAGATTTGTACGCAGAAGTGATTGGCGTGTTAGCGCAGTCGCGTTTCGCTTCTGTCAAAAAGAGATTTACTGCAGAATTAAAGGTAAAATATAATCAAGGCAAGATTACTAAAACATAAATGATTTTTAGAGTCCACAATTCAAACCTTAATTTGAATACAAAAACACAACTATAACGCGATGTATATTAATGTATTCATTTGTGTTGTGAGAATGGACACTTGAGTCTTATAAGCTGACTAGACTGGGACTGATTTATTATTCTCTTTTATTTATTTCTTTCACAATAATTATAAATACTAAAAATATGAGCCTTATCAAGGTGAATTAACTTGTATTTATTTTCATTTCTGTAGGAGTTAAAAAGTCGCGAACCCTCTCCGCACACTACTCAAAGCATAATCTCATTGCTGATGGGTATGAAGTTCTTCCGTGTCAAAATGGTACCAATAGAGGAGTTTGAAGCGTCCTTCCAATTCCTGCAAGAGTGCGCGCAATACTTCCTGGAAGTCAAAGATAAAGATATAAGGCACTCACTCGCTGGCCTCTTCGTTGAGATACTGGTGCCTGTTGCGGCGGTGAGAGAAATATATACAAACTTAAACTCGATACTCAATAAGTTTATTGTTACGCTAAACTCTGCTTACGCTAGCGTTAAAAATAATGTATTTATTTATACTATCGACACTAATATGCACAACGTGCCTTTCGAGGCATAGAGGAGTAAGACATAAATTTCCCGGCACCTATCGTATGAAAATCGAGTAGCCATGAAAATATGCTAGCAAGTATGAAATGGGCTGCGAATATCAAGGAAGAAAAGACTTGTGTGAACCCTGCCTTATGTTTCGACTTATAGCTGCTTTACACGTTTTTGACTTTCTGGTCACAAATAAGTTTTTATCACTCCTTTGTGCTCACAGTATTTTATTAGTGGTACTGGACTCCTACGAGTGTCACATGCATACTTATGATACTTTAGCCTGTGAAATATGTGACAATACTATTAAATACCCGTGCCAGACATGTGAGCACTTTTTTGATTACGAATGTATTAACATGTCTGACGCGGACATATAAGATATAGTATAATTATAGATGGTTTGTATTAAACTTTTCTCCCAACAGACCGTGAAGAATGAAGTGAACGTCCCATGTCTCAAGAATTTTGTTGAGATGCTGTACAGTCACACACTGGACGCGTCGACTAAATCCAAGCACAGGCTTGCTTTGTTCCCTCTTGTCACGTACTTATTATGCGTTTCTCAGAAGCAGTTCTTCCTTGCTAACTGGCACTGCTTTTTAGCCATGTGTCTTTCCCATCTCAAAAATAGGGACCCTAAAATGTGCAGAGTCGCATTGGGTGAGTATAAATTTAATTCATAGCATGTATGTTCACACTTATTAGTATGTTTATTCTATTATATTTTTGTTATGCACATCCTTTACCAACAGCTCCATCTGATTAATTTTTTTTTTTTCCGACTAACATCATACCAATATTTATTTTCGTTTTGTTATGTTCAAATTCAATAAAATTTATTCAATCTAGACTTACAAGCATTTGTGAATGTAGAAAACTACGCCATCGGCTCGCAAATCTACGGTGGACACCTTGTTTCGGTTATTTTATGTTCTTCATATGTTTCATCGTATTTTGTGGTTATGGGTCAATAAAAGCTTTTTTTTTCTTATAAGGTTTTCTAATCATGATTCTGTTCTGCACTAAAGACTCACAGTACTCACAACAAACATAAATTTTAAGTAAATTCATTATATACTATTCTATCACTGTTATTACATATAAACTTCGTGTGTTCATAAGTTTTGAAACAAACTTTTAACGGAAAACATGTAATAAAATGTAACTGGCTGTAAAAAAATTATGTTGTTTTACTGATTTTGAATTTGGAATGTTATCTTTTAGTTTATTTGTATCACAAATTCATTTGTTGATATTTTCTCGTGATAGAGGGAACAGAACAATTACGTGCAACTGTCTTTTCGCTATTCAAGGCGGGAAAAAAACCGAAGCAGATCGAAGAACCGACGAAATCCGAGTCCCACTCAGAAGAAACTCGCTCTGCAGTCATATATTTCGCGCGTTTAAGGGAACAGAATACTGAAATATAATCTTAATGTAAAGGCCTATAACCGTAGAAAGTTCACTTTTTACACGATCGTCTTCGTAAGTTACGACGCTAACGTTGTCCATTGCTGTCGAGGAGACGCGATGCCAGGAAGATACTCTTCACTGACGAGAAAAATTTTAGTGTAGAAGAAAAATTCAACCGATAAAACAATAGTGTACGCTAAAAGTAGCAAAGATGTCGCAGCTTCTTCACGAAATGTCTCGCGCAATTATCATCCGGCTAGTGTGGTATGGTGGGGAGTTACGTATGAAGGCGTCACTCCGCTCCACATCTGCCAGCAAGGTGTCAAGGTAAAAGCCAAGAATTATCAGAGTGATATTTTGAGAGCTCGTGGTGAAATCCCTGTCTGATACGTTATTTCACAATAAGGATTGGTTTTTTCAGAAAGACTCGGCGCCATACCAAAAGGCAAAAAGTACCCAAGCTTGGTTGAGGGAGCCCCAACCTCAACCCGCTCCAGCCCTGATCTAAACCCGTTGGATTATTATTTATGAACTGTATTAGAGCTCAGGGCCTGCCGAAAGTGCCACCGAAATTTGGAGTCACTGAAGCGAACCCTTGTTCGAAAAAGGAAAGCGAATTCCGCTAGAAAAGATTCGTGCCGCCACTGATGATCGGAAAATCGTCTAAGGGCCTGTATAAAAAAGGGCGGACATTTTGAATAAAATATATATTTTATTGTTAACCATTTAATGGTTACTGAAAATTTTAGAAATATAAGTTAATTAGTAAAAAAGTTACGCAACTTTTATTTCATCTCAAAATTTATGAACACACGAGGACACATATATATATATATATATATATATATATATATATATATATATATATATATATATATATATATATATATACTTATTTATTAAAAATAAAACTTTATCTTAGCTATTTTACTATCCAAACAGAGTCATTGTACCGGCTTCTATGGGTTTACATGATAAGAATCAAATGTGAGAGCAACTCCGCAACTCAGTCGCGCCTCCAAAGCATAGTCAACTCGCTCTTCCCTAAAGGTTCCAAAGGCGTTGTACCACGTGACACCCCACTTAATATTTTCGTCAAGATAATTCAGTTCATAGCTCAAGAGAGACTAGACTTTGCAATGAGGGAAATTGTTTTCGATTTGCTCATGGTTGGGAGACAGATTAAAATCATATTGACTCCAGAAAGGATGTCTATTGGGCTTCGAGCTTTTCTCGTGGTAGCAGATAGTCTTCAACAGAAAGAGGGTGAACCACCAATGCCGAGGACTTCCGGTACGCTACCATCGGGTAATACACTAAGAGTGAAGAAGACTTTCTTAAACAAAATGCTGACGGATGAAACTGCTAGGTCTATAGGCATGAGTGCTTATTTCCCGTATGTAAGGCGGGTGCTGGTTGAGATTCTTCGTGCCCTCGATGCCCATTACGGAAGACCTCTGATGTTGACCAATACACAAAATGTTACAAAAGAACAGGAGATAAATACAGGAGAACGAAAACCAAGAATAGACCTATTCAGGACTTGCGTAGCTGCGATACCTAGGTTAGTTCCTTATTTATTTTAAACTTTTTACATTTAAGTTTCAAATTCCAATTGAGGTGTGAAGTTTAAAGTAGAAGAATTTTCTCAGTAACAACAGTGATAAGAATTCCAAATAAAAAGCAGTGGTTTCGATATTATTTTCTATATAGTCACGAAATACAAAAAAAAAATATTAAAAATATAAAAACTATAAAAGGGTTTTAGTATCGTCATCGTCGGCAACAAATAGGTTAAATTAATTGAGCATTGATAATAATCACCATACAGGCTTATCCCCGAGGGTATGAGTCCGAGTGAACTGGTGGAGCTACTGTGCCGACTCACTGTCCACATGGACGAGGAACTGCGCGGTCTCTCCTTTCAGAGTTTACAAACTCTCATCGTGGACTTCCCTGAGTGGAGACAAGACGTACTCGCTGGTTTCACGCAATTTCTAGCCAAGGAAGTTCAGGTACTGTTCGACAAGTTTTATCGTCATATATATATTTATATATATAGAGTGAGAGCTGGCGACGACCAGACCTTCGTTATATTATAAAAGCTGAAAATTCTTCTATACATCTTTCCTATACATATATAAGCAAACCCAGCCTATAAAATTTTCTTACAAAAAATTGTTGTGAATGTTTTATGACGTTCCCGGTGATAACCTCCATCTATATATTCATCAGTGTAAAATAATGTTCGAATATTTAAGGTTATGTTTTTTTTTACTTTCAAAACAGTTTGACACTTCTTTAATGTCTCTTCAGAAAGCGAAATTAATTTTCCTTCACTTTTCTTACAAATAAAACAACTTAATATGTTTTCATTCGTTTCTTCTGTTTCCATGATAACACTTTACCACAACTGGACCACTTATTCAATAAACTTTACAAATTAATTATTCAACGGTTTCTGTACGTATAACAGTTCACACTACACAATATATTATAATACGGCGTACGAGACAGCTGATGCGCAGAAAGAGATCGCTGTGGACCGATCATGCTATTTCACTTGCACCAACGTACATGTATATTCATCGCGCGCACGCCTGGAGTAGACTTCAATGTACCTGGGAAGATAGGGGAACCATCGAAAGTGACTGGGAGTTGTGGAAGCATTATTCGTATAGCTTTCTGAATAACATATATAAAAGTCAGATTTTATACTATGACGAAAGTAGATTTATAAATAATCATACTGTAAGGGTGTCTGGAAAGGGGTTGTTACCGCCCGAAGTGTCCGCCAATAGACGAGGCGGTTTCTAATATGATTGTAAGTTAAAATATATGAAAACTAAGTTTTATACTATCACAAATTTGAAACATAATTTTACTCACCTTTACTACCTGTTACCTGCCAAAGCCACCGCGACCCATGTTGTATAGGCTGGGTTTGCTTACCTGTATAGGAGACATGTATAGAAGAATTTTCAGCTTTTATAATATAACGAAGGTCTGGGCGTCGCGGGCTCTTAGTCTAATATATTAAAGTTGAGAAAGAATGACCTAAAGCTATACTGATATTATAAAGAGTAAATAATTTTTCTTATTTTGTTTGTAACGTAAAAAATATACATATATGTTATAAACCGTCTTAGTAATTGCTGATAGTTCGAACTAAAATATTTTTAAAGCGTTGTAGTGAGGATGTATTTGAATACTAGCATTCATTATATTGAGATTCAGCGCATTCAGCGCTGGACTATTTAGTTTGGCTCCTTTAAACTAAAGAAAAACACAGATACTTTTGGTTATAAACAAAGAAAATCTAACAGGATGATTTTGTGGATCGAGAATAATCACGATGAAAGGAAAAAAGCTAGACAATGAAATATGTAAACAGATAAGGCTTGCGCCGTCATGCGGAACTCTGGTCTGTTCTTCTATGGTCCACTTCTAGCTCTTTGCTGAGAACTATTTTTCCAATTTTTAGGATACCTCGCCTCAGTTGGTGGAGAATGGTTTACGTATGTTATTACAATTGATAACAAGTTGGAAAAACGGTGAGCCGTCTTCTAATACTATTACGGGAGCAGGGGTCAAGCAGGAAGCTTTGGCAGCCGTGGTGCGCGGCGCTGAAGCCCTAGGGCTCGTTATGTTGTGTCAATGCAAACCATACCCACGACGACTCGCCGTACACGTGTTAAGGTGAACGTCTTATTTTCTGATTGTTAGTTGCACAAAGATCCATAAGGGTTTAATGACGCCTTTAAACACAAATGAATTTCAAATCCGGTTTTAAATTAATAAAAAATTTAATGGAAGTTTGTGCAACTGGCGGTGAGAGTATTTCATTTATTCAAATAAAAGGTTTTGTTATACAGTAGAACCTCGATAACTCAAACCTCGGTAACTTAAAAACCTCTATAACTTCAAAAAATAATATGTTCCCTTCCCAACAGAGGCTAAAACCTCAGTAACTTAAAATACGCAACCTCTGTAACTTAAATACGTAATCTCTGTATTGGCCCTCACTAACTTAAAGAAATGCTTCCACAACCTCTATAACATAAAAATGTTTGTTAATGACTCATTTTGAAAGAGTGTCCATAACAAAAGATTTCGGTATTTATTGCTTGCACGTGTTCACTAGCTAAATTGTTAACGTAAAAAATAAAAAACATAAATTCTTTAAATCGATTTAGAAACTGTGAATTGTTTAAAACAAAAAAAAAATATCACTGACTTTTTTAGTAGACAAACGGTCAGTTGTACAAACGTTCATTAAGGTTTAATGACGCCTTTAAGATCTAATTAATGTCAAATTTGTATGCGTAATGTCGCTTTAAACTAATGAAATGGATAATGGTCGTTTGTGCAACTGGCTGTAAACCTTTAATTGTTGTTTTATTTTTATTTAACGTGTGCAATAAACCTGTCCTTCTGACGCATTCAAGTAAAAATAGGAACAAGGATACATACATATATATGTACATACCTACCTCTATATTAACCTATCCCTAACATAGACCCTTGATAACTTAAAACCTCGATAACTTAAAATATTTTGTGTTTCCCTTGAACTTTAACTTATCGAGGTTCTACTGTATACGCAAATCTTATTTAATTAATAATACGGGCACAGACAGTTAACGAAAATATATACATTTTTCTTTTTCTGGTAGTGTTTAATATACTATTACCGATAGTTACACTTTTATGCTTAATATATTTATAATATTGCATAAATCAATTATGGTAAAGTATTTTACAGTCATTATCACGTGACGTTACGCTCCTCCTACTCATAGAAGAACTTGGAGAATTCAAATAATTTCATTTTTAGGTGTAAACTCATTATATGAATGATACTTTTTAAAATATATTTTTACATATATGGTATGTATCTATAAAATAAAAATATAAAAAAGTTGTCTACTTAATAATTACTGCATTGGACGTGAAACTAAATTTTATCTATTTTTTATTCTTTGTCCTAACGCAGAGAGACTAAGTGCTTGCTAGAGAAGTTGCAGTTGACAGGCGACGAACCAGCATTGATAGACGCAGCGGACGAGCATGTACCACAGTTAGCAGAACGATGTCTGCCTCTATTGCCGCCCGCTGAGAAACAGGCCGTGCTCGCTGTCTCACAGCCCGATCTAGTCTGGGTAGCAGAAAGGAGTCACGCCGTTTGGACAGCCAGTAAGGACACTCTAGATAAGAGATCTCCAAAATGGTCGATATCAACCTCTTGTGGTTGTGGTTTCCAGGGGGTCGACATAAACGAAAACTGATTTAGCTGTTGAGACCTGAGAACTTACCCATATAAATTTGGAATTGTTTAGGAATACTATATTTATATGAAATATTCTGAAGCTTTCAATTGCATCAACAAATAGAGTGTTCAGAACTTTCTCATACGTTGTAAATTACATCTTCATACGGCTACAGAGCGAAATTTCAAAAATTTCATAATATGGGCGACACAGGAAATCCCCAGGTACTTTCTTACCAAAAGTTAAGGATTTGAACCGCAGATTATTAAAAATCAATTGAAGCTATTTTTTAACCTTAATTTATATTATTAATAGTAATATTTTATACATAACATATTGATCATGAAAATTCGACATTTTGTGGTAACATAATGATCAACCCTGCGATTCTGTAAAAATTCAAACCCGAATTCGAATCAGGTCACACTCAGGTCTCCGAATTGACTTCAAAAAGCGTCATCCGCTCAACCTGGAATTGGTAATATCGTTTCGTGGCATAAGTGAAGTGTGAAGTGAATATCTAATTCATGTAATTTGGTTTGTATTTTTATAGAATCAATAAAATTTTTACTCTAAATGACGTGAATTCGGACACGAGTGAATTCAAAAGTGGGTCTGGATTTTTTCAGAATCGCAGGGCTGATGTGTGTACAATTACCGGAAATATTGATATAACTATACTTTTTCTTCACAGGTACTCAGCATGATGAAACTTCTACCAAAAATAGTTGGAGTGGCAGCGCATCCAATGGTGCTGACCCATGGAAGGTAATACCTTACCTTAGTAATAAAAAAAAACAATTAGTACTGTAGACAGTTTAATTTTTTTTATTCATTTAATTCCTCGTGGAAGCACTGAAACATAGACAAAGTGAATCTTTTGAAAGGATAGGATAGTTTTTGTCGCAAAAAATAGTCTTAAAGGAAGGGATGATCGAATTACATGTGAGCGAAGCCGCAGGCGGAGAGCTAGTAATATATATTAACAAAAGGAATATATTGAAAAATAGACATTCTAGAAAGAGACATTTACGCGACTGGATATTTTGGAAAAGGATATAGTAATATTGTTAAACTGGAACATTAACACCAGCACCAGAGCACGCATAGCATGATAAACGCGACAGCGTTTTTTCTACATGTAAATATCACTTTTAATACGATTAATGTCGCCAATACGATAGGAATGTTTGATGTAGACAAAGCTTTTCTGGAGTTTTTATGCTACGCCTGCAAAATTTATTATGACGGAGGCATATTATGAATGAAACAATTTTTTTTTTTATTATGTCAGGTGATATTGTTCGGTTTACTCGAGCGTTCTCGTGTACCGGCTCGCTGCCCTTCCACTATACTGCAGGCGTGGCCAATACTCCACGCGAGGATACATGCACTGTTCACCATAATAGAGCCCGCGTGAGTATACTCATCCTTTTGTGTATCAGATTATTCAATTGGAAAACAATAACATTATGTTAGGAATTTGATTATATTTTCCAAGTACAAGGCTAGAGCTATGATAATAAAAATGATTATTTGCTATTTACTTGTATTGCTTATATCTTAAACAAGTTTTTTATGAACTCATGAAATGTTTCTTAATATTGCATTGGCATTGTACAAAAAGGACTATATCACCATTATCCTATGATTTGCACTTCTATGAGACCGTTGTTATTATTTCTAGGCCGGTGAACGACAATCGCGCGTCTCTATTATCTCGAGGACCAACGCTGCCTAGAAAGCCAGAGAAAGAAAGAGATGGATATATGCAGGTTGGTACGGTTTCATGCAACAAAATAAATACAAGGTTAATCATTCAAATCTTAGTGAGTAGAATTTTAAATATTATTAGAAGAGGTTTGGTTATTTTTCTCTTTATCCATATTGAAGACACAAGGAAGCGAAAGAATAATATTTTAGGGTAGTTTGTATGAAAAGAAACCATGAATACATGCAAGCCAGTAGGCACCTAATAGATAGGATTTTTGTTATTTGTCATTCACATGTGGCCTGTGAAGAAAATTCGTTAACTTTGCCTCCTTTGACTCGGATTGATCTCCTTCCAACTTTATATTGATTAAATAAGCCTATAATTGAGATTTTAAAAAAAATATTGTATTTGATATTTACAAAACAATAAATTCACTGTAAGAATTATTTTTCTTTTGAAAAAATTGTTGAAAGGTTGGAAAATGAGAAATTCTATGTTTATGTAAAATTTAAAGCTATAAACCTGCAAAACCTAATTTTAAAACTTTAAAAATGGTGACTTCTTGAAACCGGTAACTATACGAGCAGCTGGTCCACTTCTACCATAGTATACATTTGTATATGTGTTTACGTAGTGTCTCTTTTCCATTGTGCAGGTGTGGAAATACTACATGACAATGGCTTATCTTGTTGTACCAGCGGTACCGAGTCCCGTAATAAGATGTGCGAGTCCAGATCTCAGTTTAAGGTAAGAATCAGTTTCATTGTGCATTTCACATCAGTTTCATTAGTAGGGTCATTGCAAACGACGCATTCTGAAAATACCCTATTACGGTTTTCGTACACACCGCTGCACGTTAGGTTATCACGATATGTCAAATTTCTCCAGTTGATTTTAAAACCTACCCACAAAATATTAAGTTTCAAAATCAAGTGAAGTTTGACAGATTTGTATAACTTGATGTGCTGTTGACTTTACAGTACAAAAACAACGCTGACTTGATTCTCAGCAAGTATTTAAAAAAGTTATATATCTTTTCATTGTTATTTTGCTGCGCGCTTTTAATAATAGTTTATAAAACTATTTTAATAATAGTTTATAAAACTATTTTAATAATATTTTTTACGTGAATTATATACACTTTAGTATTAATTTTTTAACCATATTATTAGTCAAATTTGTAAAATGATTATTGATATTGATGCCCGATACTATTTTTCAATAAGAAAAATAGTCACAAATTGTCTAGTTTCACAACACTAGGTTTACGTTTCTGCAAGCTTGATTTAATTATTTAACTTTACAAGATTATTCGAAATATATTGCGAAAACAGAGAGAATTTTGTTATATTTATATTTGATTTTATCATAAAAAGAAGTAAATAATGATAAGTTAAATAGTTAATTGAGTTTTCTAAATGTGTAGAACATGTATAAAAGCCCATCATAGCATGTGCGTGATGTATGTGTGTCAAATATATTTCAATAATGTAATTCTACATACACGTAACAAATAACCGTTGATGTATGTCGTAGCCGACTGCTGAAAATAGCCATTGTAATTGACGGCTGTAGCCTTCTGGTTCAGTGGTATATTTAATTGCTAGTCTAAACCTCCATTAACTGTGTATCTGAACAAGACTATCTACAATTACAGCTGGAAGAAGCTCAGCCAACTGTTTCTTTTTTCTCAGAAATATAATTATTCACATACAGTATAAAAATTTCAGTGATATCCACATTAAATTACCGTGAATTAACTAATTATAGTATTATTAGTTTTACAGGTAATTTATTTTGTCTTTTAAACATCTTAAATGTTATAACATTTAATTAGAAATCTAGCCACGTTATTCAATGGCGACTACTAATTAAAAGCCCAGCTACATGTGCATCAGTTACAATTGCTGCGACTTATGCATCAGTTACAATTGAAGTGTTTTTGTTGCGAGCATGTTTTATTATTTCTGTGTTTTTAGAATGTTTTAGAATATTTATTTTATTCAGTAACATTGGTAGGTAGCTGATTGAAAACGCGGTAGAAGTCTTTTTTGTTCGTCGTTTCTCTGTGAATTTCTATTATTTACGTGTTTTTGTATACATATTTTATTAAGCATTTTGGACTTTTGTTTCATTATGACTTGTAATCAATGAGACGCATGTGACCTTTACTCAGATTCAAATGACACAAAAAAGTGCACAAAATTAAAGCTTCGCATTGAGGACATGTTCATAGACCCAGTGTAACAATTTACTCAAGTGATCCTAGGGTGTTGGTGCTATTTTATTCTTATTATAATTTTGACAATTCTATTATTATCACAATACATTAGTTCGAATTTACCACACTATGCAACCAACGAGAAATAATAAGACTCAAAACAATCTAAAATGTTACACATTTATCTTTAAATGCCTTAAATAAGTACATATCAAAAAACTGGGATACAATAAAAAATGTTTTTTGTTCTCCGTAGATTCATGTTATAAATTGCATTATAAGAAATATTCTGATAAAAAAATATTTTGATAACTTGTCAATTTTTTTGTTTATTTCATATATTTATCTGTTCTGACATTCTGCGACGATAAGACGTGACGCATCTTCAACGACCTTGCACCGATGGGTGCACATCTGACGTTTATATGGAATCCATCTAACGTATAATACATATAATATGCATCAGAAGCGTACTAATGCATATTTCCGTATTATTCAGTTCATTTCTATCTTTTTAATATTTTTGATTGTGCAATATCATTTTACTTTGTTAATTCTGATTTAACGTTACTGATGATAAACTACGGTTCTTCCATCAGATTTGCATCCTTTACCGATTTATTATAAAACGAGGACTAACTCGTACCAGGTTTAAACCAAAATACGTCTCAGTTTGACGTTTTCTGTTGTCATTGTCGATTTGCTTTAAAGCGGTCAATTGTATAAAGTACTAATTTTAGTCGTCGTTTTTTAATAAGATGTTGAAGGTATAAGTATGAAACAGACGGCAAACTGTAGACCGCTGATTATATTAATACTATTGATTTCTATGCTTTAGTCTGAGGAACGTGGAGCGATCAACGCAAATATTTTGTGTCTTGGCACTGTCATCGTCCACTATTACTGTTGCATGTCGGATTTACTCTCTTTAGGCATTTGATCCCGCACTTTCTGTCACCCTCCCGCCTACATCTTGGTGTTGGAGAGTGGATTAGTAAAAATTTTTAAAAATAAGGAAAGCAACTGTTTTATTACAGTTTCTTTAGTAGAAACTACCGCTTTATGTATTTTTATTTTTAATGGATAGATATAAATAAGCATTAAAAAATAACACCTGAGAATAGATCCGTTGATATTTCAATTGGATAGAATAGAAATGTCATTTGCTTAGTCAGGAATCAACTTCGACATTGCCCGATCAAGCTATTTAGCCGTTCTAGGAACAAATTATATTAGCCACACTTAATACTAACATTAATTGGGCGATGTCCTTAATTTAGCCGTTCCGATTAATCGCCCGGCTTGTCTCTACTAAAATGGGCTCTGAGTTTTAGGTGCCTAACATAGGGTTAACGAGTTGATAGGTGTTTCTGGTAGTGGATGGTGGTGTGTCTGTTCAGTGGCACAGAGCAGGAGGGCTGGCTGGGGGGCGGCGCCCTGGGTTCGTCGAGCGAGAGCCTCAACGCGGGCGGGTTCTTCACGCTGCCCCTGAGCTATGCGCGCGCGCACAGGCACAAACGTACAAGGTGGATAACGCCCAACATGCACGACGACTACGACGCATCTATTTGGGCGTTAAGCTCGTAACGAATACATATTTTGAAATATTTGGACAGTATTCTTTTAATTGGCATTTTACATTGAAATTGGAAAATTGTTAAATTTACTGGTGAATATAGAGGAGTGCAAATGAAAAAATTTTTTTTTTTATTGTGGCAGATTATTGTTCTAACATTATGAATTGATATATCAATCAATGTTATTTTTTTCATTAAACTATTGAAGTTACCTTATTTAAATATACGCATTAAACTTCCATTTGAATTACTTACTCTGTTTAGTAGTTTTTCAGTTTGGTGTGTTCAAACAAACATAAAACATGGTCTAGGTTTGTAAGTTGTCATAATCAAGTATCCATTTCATATCTTTATATAGGTATCTATATATGCGTTATATAAATTTATTTTAGCTCTGCGATTTTAATTTAAGAACGTGTAAATATATGCCACAAACCACGAAATCTCAAAGATAGTACAAACATGCTGTATATCCTAAATACAATAAAATATTATTCGTTACAAGTTTATCCTCGATACCATCGTAGTAATATCACACGTGTCTCACTGTGTTTATGTCGGTGATGGCATCGCGTTGTCCTTACTGGTCCCGCGCTAGCATGGGCACATAAGTAGGTCACCGCTCACGCGCCGCACTCCAACCTACCGTATTCATAAACATTTGTAAATAAAATTTAAAACACGTCACGGGCAACACGACCATACGTTACTGCTCTCATCTCTAACTTGACATTATTTGGATTTATCAATGACGTATCATTTTGTAGGCTTGTATTTGGCTAAGTTTAAATTTAAATGTGTTTACTGTAAGTGTGTGTATTTAACTGATTTTGTTACATTTGTAAATGTTTTGGTTTCTTGGCATCTCATTCTAGTGATAACGGAGTCTGCAAAGGGTTTGAAACGTCCTATAATACAAGCCCTAAACTCCGTTGTTTCATTAAATGAGCAGTTTGCTTGAAAAAAATATAAACAGTTATATTAAATCCATTTTTCGACTAAGCTCACTTAATTTAAACTTGTAAAAAAGTATTTTTTAAACCTATAAAAAATGTGTTCTTTATAAGAGTTCTTAAATCCTATTTTTGATTATAAAATTTTACTGACGGTTCAAAAAGCTTTTGTTGACTGTGTGAGCTGATGTTGGGGCTACTTAGTGGTTTTTGTGTCCGAGAGTATGGACAGTAGACAGCACGTCAAGTTATACAAAACTGTCAATTTTGCCCACTTGTTTTTAATCCTTAATACATTGACTACAAAGTTCCAAATTAACTGTTAGAATTTGGAACTCTACATTAACCGGACATGCTAACGTATTATATATTTATAAATTATATTTAAATTTGGAATGTTTTGTTTTTAATCTTTATGGCTGTCAATAGATGGGGCCAATCTTATAATTTAATGTTTTATTCATTAATTTATAGTGATATGTGTCTACTATAGTGCTACTGCTATAATTATAATATAATTGTTTAAAATCAGAAACTTATATTGTTGTTGTTTTATATAAACCCAGTTGCAAAAACGTCCATTAAAATTGTCATTAGTTTAAAGCGACAGTACTGCTACAAATTTTCAATGAACCATGTCCACTTTCCATACATTGATTGACGTTGATTACCTACTATTAGTCGCGTCTACCTACTATTATTGGTAATTTAAATTAGTTGTTGCTTAAAATAAAATAATATATCTAAGAATCTTTTTATTTGGAGGCCAGGGAGACTCATAATTTTTAAATTATGTTTTAAGGTTATAATCTCTGTCTCAACTCGAAAGAATTGGGAAGCTACTTTAAAAATTAATGCTTTTTCATCTGCTACGGAAAAAAGTTAGTTATAATATGAAAAGATTTGATATTCATAAATCAAAACTTTTTATATTTTAACTCGTAAATGTAGAAATAAGTTAAAAATGTAATTGTGAATGTACACTTTTTAACCAATATTT